AGTCCCAAATGGGGTGTTATGCAGATGTGACAATCGCCCTATCAAATTGAGGGGTTTAAGGGGACCGTTCACCATACAAAACTTCCACCAAATATACACTTCTTTGATAATAGGGTAATATTTTGGCATTTTCTCTTTCAATACTTTGTTTTTTATCAGTGTTAATATTTAAGCATAAAAATCAAACAAACTGGAGTTTGGTAATCACATTTGATTGAGTATGACTGTTGACTATTCGGTAATCAAACATTCGATTTTGTTCGATTGTCAAATGTTTGGTAATCAAACATTCAATTTTGTTTGATTGGCCAAATTTTGGTGCGAATTTTGATTATGTTCAACTACCAAACCCAATCAAACAATTGGTGTTTGATTACCGAGCAATTGATTAGATATGTCGGGAATACCATATAAATATTAGCAAAATGCATTATTCAAATTCTCCTCAATTCTCGTCTGTTGATCATCTAATAATTTTAATCACGGCCTGAATCATTCAAAAATTCATACAGCTCATCAATTTTGTGATTTTCAATATCTTTTTCAGCAATCGAACACGGTTGAACCCGCATTAAGCAGACACCTTTGGGAAATGAGCTGTTCATATAATTAGCTTCACATAAAAATGTTCGTGCAAAAATCTATTTAATGTAGATCGTTTCTTCGGTAAGATATTGAGTACTTTTTTCAGAAATGTAAAGAAAAATGAGAAATATAGCTAATAAAAGTTAAAATTAATCATTCCTTAACGAAATTGTTTCACCTTCAGATCAGATGTGACTCAAAGTTTGCCACGACTGCAAAAGCTTTATACATTGACCAGCGGATTTGATCACAAAAAAAGTTTACAGGAATCGATGGATGGAAGGAAGGAAGGATGGAGTGAAGCTCGCATCCATACCTACAACTTGGATTTTCCAAGTTAAAAACCAGAATGCACAAGAAACTTCAACCCTTTGTCATGTATTTTCAACCGTCATTACCAAAATTTGAAAAGCATAATCATGAACAAATTGAATACAAAACCAGCCATTACTTAGAGAGATATTCAAGGAGCCACCCTTGATCCGTTATAGAAAAGGAAAGTTGCTTGAAGATGTGCTTGTAAATGCAAAACTTTGAAGGCTCACAATGGCCACACAGCATGAGTCACACCAATGATCTGTCAACTCATTTTAATCAACCCCACCAGCACAATGATCGCCACCAGGCTTATTTCCAATCTTATTTGCATAACCTGTACACTACTTAAAGGCTTAACTGGGTTATTTCCTCTCGATTTATATCTAATTTTCTAATATTTTCAGACCATTATGTGATGTCAATTTCACAATAAACCTTGCACAAACAAGGGAGTTTATTGGTAGATTTTATCACCTATTTCATGGTTATTTAAACAAAAACTAACATTTTTTATGTATCAACATTGCCCAAATCCATTTGCAATAAAACAACAGCGAAAGAGCATTGCTCTCTCTCCAAAGTCACTTTTTTGCTATAAATGTCCTTCTAGTGACTTGCAATGTTTGCCCCCTGACAATTCAGGTCCTTCTGCAAACATGGGTATACAATTACTGACAACTCCCACTAAAAGTTGACCAATGAGCTATTGACTGGCTGCTCATTTGCATAGCCTAAGTAACAAAATTAATAGATTCCATTGCTGTGTGTCTGTTCTACAATGGATCACAGATGGCATCAGAAAAAAGTTGCACACAAGGCAATAGCCAAGTGTGTCACTGAAGTTCGTACCACATTTTGACATCTGTGGTCTATTACTGAACAGACGCATTACAACATGGAATCTACCGGTATTTGTTTTATACAACAAAAAACATCTTTCAACATAACTTGAAAGAAGGGAAATTGTCCACTTCAACAACACAAAAATAGCAATATGACCTAATCTACTGTCTATACAAAACGAAGCAAACTTGTTGGTTTCTTTGCGTAGCAAAGAATTGTGATTGGTCGAGGGAAATCACGCCACTGTCAAACTTGAATTGAGCATCCCTTGTGGTGGAATAAAAATCTTACGGCAGAAGTAGACTTGAACTGTGAAATCTAGGAATACAAAATACTGGAAAAGTCCATAGCCAGTCAGTTTTTGTCATCAGATGAAAAACCTAGACATTGCAAGAGTTGAAAGAGACACTTGGAAAGCTTGCAGTTAGGATCAACATCGACACGTCATAGGCCATTCAATTCAAGCTTTGAATGAAAGGAGCATGACAGTGAACATCTGTGTCCTCTGTAGTTGGTGATTGTCAAGTGCATTCAAGATAGTGTCTAGGACACTTTCTAGCTTTGATACAGACAGCCGTGAGCTGTAGTGAGCCATATTTTTCTCACTGCACTGTGCCCTGAAACAAACTGGAACATTTATGTCGGAAAGCAAAGTTATGTGTTTATTTTAAGAAGTACTGTTCAGTTGTGTTTTTTTCCCAACACCAATCTGAGTAAACAATTCAAAATTACTCTCAAACATTTTATATATTGGGTTTGTTAAATTCAAGGCAAAACAATGGTTTCTTACATTCAAAGTTTTGTTTGACACTGACTGTACCAAAGTGTTAAAAAACGTTTATAGCTAGTTACACAGACATCTCAACCAAACAACTTATGTCTTTGTTGGTTTAAAAAGCCAATGGAAATGACTGGCTATCCAACGGCTCACAGTTCAACCCGTGCTACACCAGCAAAATGCAACAAGCGAACACTGTGCAACATAACAAATCACGCGAGTGACTCGTAAATATCTGGAATGTCAATATGTTCATTGCCCGCATTTTGGTGTCTGTGAGAATGACAGGCCTCAGGAAAAAGTCTCTTATGTTAATCACAAGCCTTGTCCACAACAGTGGTAAGACTAAGGTCCATGTCATGGCCAACTGACAACCTAGTGCAACCTTGTAGTTACTGTCTCCAACTCGAACCACCCCATTGCATTCTTTTATTCGTGTTGCTAAGGCTCTATTTGTCCATAAAAGACAAACTCACAGTCAAGGCAAATGATTTTGAAAACTACACCTCTTGACTGTAACGTAGAGGGTTTNAACTTAACAACGAACTTGAATGACCTATGTTTCTCCAATATGCACCCCACACTAGTTCAATTTCAGGTATGTACTTTGTGCAGCGAAGTCGAAAGGAATCAACCACAACTTGGAACAGTGTTTAGTAACTGCATGAAAAGAACAAAAGCACATTAGAGAGTTTAAAATCATTTAATCAACAAGTGTTTCTGATATGATTACTGTCAGTGCATACTCTTTAAAGCTATTGCACTGCACTTAACTTCTAACTGGCTCCAAAGGTTTTTTCACACTAACTTCTAAAGCTGAAGTGTTACAGTTTCAAGAACATTGTTTCATGGACTACGCAGTAAAAATCAAACAGACTCTTAATCGCATTATCTTTGAAACTTCAATAATTACTATTTGTTAGGTCGTTCTTTCTTTTTATAGGAAGTTGTGAGGAGTATCCGGTCTAAGCGGCCTTTAGACGTTCCTCCAGAGCGTTCAACTCATCCCGCACGGCTTGAGGCAGGTCCTCACCAAGTTGCTCCTCATAGTACTTGCGCAGGTACTCGCATTCCTCCAGCCAGTAGTCTTTTGGGATTTCAAACAACTTCTCCATGTCTACTTCACCGAGCCCGTCAATGTTGATGGTGTCAGGTTTAGGGATGTACCCAATTGGACTCACATTTGCCACATCTTCGTCGTCACAACGCCTTAAGACCCATTCTAGAACACGACAGTTCTCTCCAAATCCTGCCAATAACAAATTGAAAACACGTTAGATAGAGCACGCACGATGATAGATCAAATGCTTGTGCAGTTGACATGAAAGGGTTAAAGCCGTCCAAACAATGCTACTGTAAAAGAATTATTTTACCAAACTAAAATTCCTGAAATTACTTAGTTGTGTGATAATCTGTTTTCTGTGCGACACATTTCGATCAGTTTCCCAAATAGCACCTTAACTTCTTCGTAGGAGTGGAAAACCAAACATCCATAACTCGCTTCGAGTTAACGAACAGGTCTCAGATCGAACTGAGAAGCAAGATGACGCCTTTTTCGATTAAAACACAGCGTTAANACGGTCGGACAATGACACCAATACAATGGAAAATAAAATCAATTCTCTGTCAATCACTCCAGCAGAAGGGAGTATTTTTCCCTTTCCCATATCCAAGTACATCTTCTCTACTATTTCTCCACCAATCCCTGACAGATTTTCTCAGATAATTCTCTTACGAGCTTTTATGGTCAAAACCTTCCACCGGGGTTCTTCACAAATCACATTGTGCCAGCCTTTGTTTAGCTTCTTCAATACGTAACAGACAATTTACTACCAATAATTGTTCTCCTAAAGTAATCGCCCTATCCAAGAGCAACATTGAAACTGTTGATGAAGAATGATATCTGTGCAGAAATGAAGTTAGATCGCTCAGATTATCCCAGATCGAAACAGCTACTACAAAACACTTCGAAAGAAGGTTTCCGTATCATGCAAAATTTGAGCCAAGGCACACAATGCATGCCGTTCAAAAGAGAGTCTTTAATGAAGTCACTTTATGGATCGAAAAGAATTCAAGAATTCCAAGTGATTTTTAGGTGGTAAACTTTACCAGTTACCATCTGAAAAGTACTCGTTTTCAGTTTATTAACCTGCAAATAAGCACTTTAAATTAGAAAATCCTTTCTATGAAACTCTTGCATAAAACTGTAACACCTCAAAATTGTTAAACTAAGAATAACTGGTAAGCACATGTAAAAAGCTGGAAGTTTTGAACAACCATTCAATCTGCACATTATTTTGCCAAATGTCAGGTTTAATGCTAATTAATATGTAGAGAAATGTTTGGAAATCTTCATTTGAAGGAAACTTAGTCAGAATGCTCATAAAACAATTAGATCGTACCCTCTTTATGTCTATGTCATAATCAAATAATTAGACACTATATTTAACAATTTTTGTTAAATATCAATACTTACCTTTCATGCAGCCTGGATATTTTTCCCCAAGTTGGTGATTCATGTCACTGACACTCATCCAGTTACCAAGCTGGCCTTTCACACCCTCTTTAGCCCGTGGAATTGATTCATGTTTGTTCTCTGTGCAAATATATGTTTTGGATTCCACGCGTGCCACATCATGTGGATCGGTACGCACCACGTAACTGAATAAGAAAAGAAAATGCTGTATTTATTCGATTAAGCGCCCAGGGCGCTCATTTAAATTTTGGACTTTCAGGGTGGGCGCTTCTTTGAGGTGGGCGCTTATTTGAGGCTGGGCACTTATTAAATTTTCACCATTTTCAGTAAGTAAAAAGTTTACTTTGTAACAAAACAATAAATAAGAACAAAACATGACAAAATATTAAAGCATATAAATTGTAACTGTTTGTTGTTCAGTTTATGCCCAGGACTAGCAACTCNGGGGGGGGGGGTGTATTTTTTCTGGAATAACCCAATGTCACAAACATTCTGCTTATTGGCTTTGTTAAATTCAAGACAAAGCAATGGTTTCTTACCTTGAAATAATTTCAAGACCAATTTTGCGCTTAGTTTGGTCTCAGTCAACTACCAACTGAGACTGCTTGAGTATTTTTTCTGAGTCATTTTCTAAGATAGAAACGGCTTTTTCTTTCTTCTTCCTTCTTCTCGTACCTGTTCAATGCCTCAACAAGACATTTTATCTTTTGCCCAGTCATGTAAAATATTATCTAAATTCTCAAAACTTTCTGCCATTTAAAAACGCAAAGGGAAAGCCATTGTAATGACGACGTCAATCGTGCGTCTGTCCTCTAATAGATCATAGGCGAGAACCAATCAAAATGCAAGAATAACTTGGGTTATTATATAACAATCAATCGATAGCAATCGGCGATTGATTTTCGATATTGATTTTTATCGAGTGACTACACCTAGCGGAAAACCAATCGTGGAAGCTCCAAATTACTCCCCAAAATTTATAATATAAATGATGGGCCTCGACGATGCTAAACATAAGACTTACCAATTGTCGTGTTTTTTAAGTGGGGTGGCAATTCCACCATCTACTAGCTGTTTTATAAGTGCCTCATTCTCTTCTTTCGATCCATCACAAACATGGATGTTTTCCGGTGTGCACAGTTTGACTTTGTCTGCAACGAAGTCTTGCACCTTAGCAGACAAGTCTTCAAACTTTCCGTATATCACCGAGACGTTTGCTGGGAGTTTGGAAGCCATTTCCTAGGACCACTGCAGATTGGACGTCTGAAATACGACAAGAAATATGACGACCTAAACCTTTAGCGTAATGTTATTCAAAGAAATATTTCACTGCACAAACTCAAAAGAGAAATAAAACCACTCTTACCACGTCGTAGAGCCTGCAACTGTTTAAAGCTAGGAGAGTTTTGGCGCTTTTGAAGGATGTGAGACTAATCCAATCTGTTAAAAATGATTGGTCGAAAATAAACACGTGAAGGGTAACGCAAAAATGTTATCCTTGAATTCGTGCAGAGCGGCACGCAATCGACCAAAAAGACAAAAAATTACATCAAAGTCTATTTTTTTAACTCTACCAACAAGACCAACTTTGAAAGTTGACCTTGGTTATTGGACGTTCTAAAATTTTCCCGTTTGCTTATTCCGTGTATGAACACACGACCCACTGCTCGTTATGCTGGGCACGTTTCTCGCTCGCTTATTTAGGTCACGTGTCACACGCGAGACATGTGGAGCGACTCGTCAATCTACTTTCAAATATCCGGGGCAAAGTTGTCTGATGCGTTAATATTTAAGAAATAGAAAACATGTACCGTGTTTCTATCGAGTTATAGAAACACGAGTGGAAGTTTGGGAGAACGAGAAATGCTGTGGGAACACGAGCCGCGGGCGAGTGTTTCCAGAGCTTTTTCGAGTTCTGTACAGGGGCCCGTTTCTCGTAAGTCCCGGGAACTAAAAAAAAATGCCTTTCCGGGCCCGAAAAGATATCTGAGCGTGAATTTTATTTATGCCGATGCTAACCGGAAATAACGGTGCGAGAAGAAAGAAAGCGAAGCGCGTTGACTACCCTAGGGCTCGAACCTCGGCTTGACATCAATTGCTGGATTTTAAGGTTACTCCCTATCGCACGCGCGCTGAGGACGAAAGCTCAAGTAATCTGCGCGGGCTCCAAAGAAAACGTCAGTGTTTTTGGATATTTTATGACGTCAACATGAGCACAATAAGGAAAACTGACAGCGAAATACTGTAAAATTTGGCAGATTGGTAGTAAATATTTTACCTTAGTCGAAGCTCGTTTTTCAGGGAAATCTGTAAGACTAGGATTAAACTGCCTTTACAAACCCTACTTTTTTCTCGTTTAAAATTTGTATCCATAAAAACAGCAAAAAACACATTTGTTTGGGCATTGATAATTCAAGACTAAGGCCCAAAATTCCAAAATTTTAACATGGATGATAGCAAAACACTATTTTTAAAATTAGCTCTTATTAACCGAGCAGGAGGTCTGTTTGGAAGAATCTTGACCGAGGTCGTGAGTACAGACCGAACGCAGTGAGGTCTGTACACACGATCGAGGTCGAGATTCTCCCATACAGACCGACTAAGCTCGATTAATGAGTTGTTTATTATATGGCAAACAATAACAATTTAATTCGGTTAGTGTAACTGGTTTGTACTAGCTGACATTTTGCTTGCGAACGGCGATGAGCCGAACTGAATTCTGCCAAAGTTTGCTTGTCCTCTTTACTTTTTTTTCTCATCAGGCTTTTTGGCACTTCCATAGATAAATATTGTTAAAAGAAAATAGTCAACACTTTTGCATTTTAGTTAGCAAGTTTTTCACCGCAAAATGTAACCGGTCCAGATGCCGGTCTAGGTGGGAAAATCTAGACCGCTTTCAATATCGATTTCAGCCAATCAAATTCGTAAATTCGGTAGTTCCCAGTCCTTGTGAGACACAGCCANGGCAATAGCCAAGTGTGTCACTGAAGTTCGTACCACATTTTGACATCTGTGGTCTATTACTGAACAGACGCATTACAACATGGAATCTACCGGTATTTGTTTTATACAACAAAAAACATCTTTCAACATAACTTGAAAGAAGGGAAATTGTCCACTTCAACAACACAAAAATAGCAATATGACCTAATCTACTGTCTATACAAAACGAAGCAAACTTGTTGGTTTCTTTGCGTAGCAAAGAATTGTGATTGGTCGAGGGAAATCACGCCACTGTCAAACTTGAATTGAGCATCCCTTGTGGTGGAATAAAAATCTTACGGCAGAAGTAGACTTGAACTGTGAAATCTAGGAATACAAAATACTGGAAAAGTCCATAGCCAGTCAGTTTTTGTCATCAGATGAAAAACCTAGACATTGCAAGAGTTGAAAGAGACACTTGGAAAGCTTGCAGTTAGGATCAACATCGACACGTCATAGGCCATTCAATTCAAGCTTTGAATGAAAGGAGCATGACAGTGAACATCTGTGTCCTCTGTAGTTGGTGATTGTCAAGTGCATTCAAGATAGTGTCTAGGACACTTTCTAGCTTTGATACAGACAGCCGTGAGCTGTAGTGAGCCATATTTTTCTCACTGCACTGTGCCCTGAAACAAACTGGAACATTTATGTCGGAAAGCAAAGTTATGTGTTTATTTTAAGAAGTACTGTTCAGTTGTGTTTTTTTCCCAACACCAATCTGAGTAAACAATTCAAAATTACTCTCAAACATTTTATATATTGGGTTTGTTAAATTCAAGGCAAAACAATGGTTTCTTACATTCAAAGTTTTGTTTGACACTGACTGTACCAAAGTGTTAAAAAACGTTTATAGCTAGTTACACAGACATCTCAACCAAACAACTTATGTCTTTGTTGGTTTAAAAAGCCAATGGAAATGACTGGCTATCCAACGGCTCACAGTTCAACCCGTGCTACACCAGCAAAATGCAACAAGCGAACACTGTGCAACATAACAAATCACGCGAGTGACTCGTAAATATCTGGAATGTCAATATGTTCATTGCCCGCATTTTGGTGTCTGTGAGAATGACAGGCCTCAGGAAAAAGTCTCTTATGGTAATCACAAGCCTTGTCCACAACAGTGGTAAGACTAAGGTCCATGTCATGGCCAACTGACAACCTAGTGCAACCTTGTAGTTACTGTCTCCAACTCGAACCACCCCATTGCATTCTTTTATTCGTGTTGCTAAGGCTCTATTTGTCCATAAAAGACAAACTCACAGTCAAGGCAAATGATTTTGAAAACTACACCTCTTGACTGTAACGTAGAGGGTTTGTTCTTGAGCTGTCCCTGGCTGCAATTTTAGTATTCTTGGTTCAATGGTTTCTTACCTTGAAATAATTTCAAGACCAATTTTACATTTGATTTAGTCTCGCTGTACTGCCAATTGAGACTGCTTGAGTATTTATTCCACATCATTTTCTAAAAAAGAAACTTGTTTTTCTTTCTTCTTCCTGCTTCTCATACCTGTTGACAGCCTCAACTCAACAAGACTTTTTTTACCTAACCTTCCCCCAGTCTCATAAAATATTATCAAATTCTCAAAACTTTGCCCCATTTTAAAAAACAGACAGAAAATAATTGTTAAATTGATGTCATCTGTGCATCTGACCTTAGCCTGGAAGCAGGCTCATCTTTGAGTCACACGTATGAGCGGTAGAGAGCAAAGCAATCCAGCGGGAAGGAGTCTGGTGAAGAGGTGCCAAGAAAGTGAGCCTGCCCTGATCTCTATAATTTTTTCATTTCTGCTTTGTCTGAGCGAAGTGAAATACCATCAGTCGAAAAGCAGGAAAGGCGAGAAAACTGTCAATCTATTATGTTTGATGAGAAGCAATTCAATTTATTGCAGTAATTTACCGCACAATAAAAAAACAAGTCGTCCACATCTGGAGGCAGAGGAAGAGTCGAGTGCACGTATTACTGATGTTTCAGCAAAGTTCTAGTCTATTTCTGGTTAAATTTCAACTAAAGAGGGAGCAGGAAATAGCAGTGGAAAGTCAAGACGTACTTGTCGTGTTGCCGACTGCATATGGGAAGAGTTAAATATTACAAACATATGTGATTGCAAGCGGGCAACAAAACAACATGAAGGCGTTTGCCCATTTACCAGCATCGTCAAAGACCAGATTGCCAAAGCAAGGTCAGTTGGAATTAAGTGTGTGTCCTTAGTAGACATAAACTTTGACAGTTTTTCTTTGGCAAAACTTTATCAACAACGGATATCGCGCCTACATGTTGTTATGAAAAAGATTTGCAATTTCCCCGAGAAATCTGAGCTGCCAAAGTTTATACTTCTGGTAAAAATGTAATTGACTTATTCTTTTCTGCGGTTTCCAGAGTGGAAATAAAAAATTTGCAGAGATGAGAGCAGGCTCACTTTCTCGTCTCGCAGCTTTGCCATTCTATTTCTTTTCTACAGTTTCCAGAGTGGAAATAAAAATTTGCAGAGATCAGAGCAGGCTCACTTTCTCATCTCGCGGCTTCACCACTCGATTTCATGCTTGTGCTCCAACGTGAGCCTGCTTGCATGCTAATCTGACCTCTAATAGATCATGGGTGAGAACCAATGAAAATGCGAGAATTAATTGAATTATTTTACTATCATTGCCTCTAGTACAACTCGTTAGCAATCTACAATGCACTTTTACCCTTGAGTGTGCAGTGCATTCCATTTTCTATTCTTTGTTTCTCGCCTCCGACCCCTGTCACAAAAAAAAAAATGCAAGCCCTGCAAACTAAAACCTTAATTAACGCTATACTAGTGTACTAAAAACAGCTGTAAAAGCTTAGCTTAATCCAGCCATTACCCCCTGAACTTGCTTCAGTTCACTAAGAAACACGCTCAATCTCTCTGAAGTCATCACAAATGATACTGGTAGACTTGTGCCGCAACTGGTATCTACTTCATTGAACCTTAGAAGAACTTCTGGCTCCGTTGTTTCACGTAACTCGCTGGATCCTAAAACGAAGTCCACCCTCCACTCTAGGCCGGCCAGCTGTTTCAACTTCAAACTTTGTTGTGAGAAAGAATCTTGCAACCTGATTAAATTCTCAGCATACGTTTTACACACTGAAACGGAATGTTCTTTTGGTAAGCCAAGTTGCTGAAGTTCGTTAGATAATGCATCACCATCCACGCTGTACTTGGCAGCACTAGAGAGTATCAACGATAGTGCCGCGACAGAAGCTTTCACGTCTGCTAATTCATACTTTGCATCAGATGTCAGCTTCTCCACTTTTGAATAGTCTATACTTTCTCCAAGCAAATCTTTAATAACCTGACCGCAAAGAAGCCTCATCTTCACAGAGGTTATTTTTGAAAGTGTGCTTATTTCTGCAAGTACCCAATCTGGGCAATCCAAATCGCCACAAAAACGAAATTTCATGTTTCCCCTATTGAGGTTCACACGGTTTTGGGCGGATCGAAGGGATACCTCGCCTGGTTCTTGTTTCTTTCTCAGGTGACAACCTCGTCCCCAGCGTCTTCTCCTCGATGATTTTCAAAATGGCGGCGGTGAATTTTGAAAAGTGGAGAAGGCCCTGGGGATGAGGTTGTGCTTAGAGCAGTGAAGTACGGAAAAATCGTATAGCAATGTACAATGGTCACTGAAAATTTATTGGCGACAGTTTTATCCGTGTTCAGTGCTATTGCAGCTGTCATCCTAGTGATTTTTTTTGGTAAGTTTGATCGCGGTTGTGACTTTGAGTTTGTTTATAGGTGTAGTCAACCGTCTTGGCAGTCTGAAAGTTTCCTACTTTCGAGTCAGGATGTTGTCCATGTTTTCAAGCCCATGCACAATCCCTAGTTGGGCATTTAGAAAACTTTTCCCGCCCTTGGGTAGGGTATTTGCTATAACAGGTCATCCCGGGTGGTGTGTACATTGTCAAAGGCAATTTTTGGGCCCAGATGTAATTTGTTATGAATTTTACGTGTCCAGTAAATAACAGGGCTTAAAATAATTTTCGAACCGTGGCCGGTCATGTTGACCGGCCAAAGTAATTTTAGCTCGGTCACGTCTCTTTTCTGACCGGCCAAAATATTTTTAAAAAAATTAAATAACTTGGGCCTAATTAAACCCACAAATATAATTTGTTTGTTCCAGTCGTTGCTACATGTAGACCGATTAAAATTTGGCCTAATACAAAGAAGAGCTTAAAACTTAACGAAAGATAGCCTTGACAGGGCTCAGCAGCTCAATGAAGTGGCACGCTGTCACTGGAATTCAACATGATGTGACCGGTCAACATGACCGGCATTTGAAGTTTTTGGCTGGTCAAGTCACTATTCTGGCTGGACATTGTCCGTTGACCGGCCGTTAATTTGAGCTCTGAGATAATCATGATTTCTGTATAATAATCATGTTTATTGTATGGCTGGACTGGTCCACAAGGAGAATTCTGATTGGTTCCCTCAGCGATCTGAATTTTGCAATATGGACTGCTAAGATAGACCACTCACAAATGCAACACAAGTGAGCGGTTGTGAGCATGCTAATGTGACATGTGAAGCCGCAAGAAGCTTGGGCGTCGGAAGATGAGCAAAAAGAAAGACTGCAATGGTTTCATACAGTATTTCTGAAGCTCAGCACTCTGGTGACAGAGTAATTCTATTTGTCGGTCTAATGAAGTTATGATGCACATCTCTCACGAACCTTTATAAGTGTCATGCAGTGCACACCAAACTCTGTTGTAAAGAGAGAGACATTTGCACATTTCCCATTCTCTTTTGATGTTAATCTCTTGACCTTTTTTTAAGTTTTATGCTACACATTTGTTTTTGAAGCACTGTGATATTAGGAGGACTTTAAAGTAGAACAGAGCTATTTGACCAAATAGGATGAAAATTTTTACTGGTCATAGGTCTGGTTTTAGCTGTTATCTGTCACACTTTGTAGAATATGACACCTCTGTAAGAACTTCATCTGTAATTTGCCATGTGCTCTAAGTGTAGCTTGCTATAGCTCATTTCTATTACTGTAACAACATGCTGAATGTTTTAAACTCTCCATTTGCCCTGTAATGATAAATTTTGGTTTCTGGCATTTTGGCGATACCAGGTCCAATTCAGAGATTTTGCAAGGTTCCTTAATGGTGCTTTTCAAATATATTGAAAATCGTAGACGCCTGGATAATGACAAGGACCAGATACTGACAGCTAGTCGGAATTTCAATTTTTCGCCCTGAGAAATACAAACTTCTTCATTGTTGAACCATACATGACATCTTACCAGATACAGCTTCAATTGATTCACAGAACAATTAGACAGAGTGTCTCTCATATTCAATCAAAGTGCTCTATGAGCAAACCAGTGGATTTCCTATAGCTAGTGAATGTGTAGTTCCATTTTTTAAACACAAAAATAGTCCCTCCACCCTCAAGAATTTCCTTAAGTATTTTGTACACCCTCCATACCCTCCAGAAAAATTCCTTTTTGCAAGAAAGTGAGTTAAAGTTAAAGAAAACACTCTAAACACAAGGCCTTCTACTTTGCACAACACTGCTGTTTATTCTCGATCACTCGTGACATCTGAAGATACAGACTGAGAAAACATACAGCAATTTAATTAAATGTGCTTTAAAAGAAAATAGGCAAGATGGTAACTTGTCACATCACCTTCCCATATGACTAAGTCCTGTGGTACAATTTCCATTGAAGGAGTGATAAGTTGAGTGTGGATGAAACTGACACCATACTTTCTTTTATCGTGATCATTACACAATCGCTCACACACCCACGGGGAAAGCCAATTTTTGCAGCAACATTGCATAAAAATTGACAGAGATAAATGAGAACAAGAAATTCTCGAGCTTCTGAAATGTGTGGTTCCAGAAAATATCTATACCCACCCCACAGAGGGTCGCAGAAATCCCAAGGGGTCTGAAAGAGCTAAATCTTTGATTGGGACGGGGGTACACAAAGAGTTTTTTATATATCATACAATGTACTTTCCCAATTGATTCACATAATTTAACCAACAGTAATGTTCCATCTGTTGAAAGAAATGTAAGATTCTTTGCCATATATTTCCATTATTGTTCCGACTTTGAACAACAGAGATGCAAGTACTCCTGAGCAGCATGTTGGTGGAGCAAAGTACCAAAGAAGAGGTGCAGCAATACATCTATAATGAGGTTGACAATATGTTGTACATTTTATACTTAGAAGATTGTGCTGTATTTAGCTTAAACACAGCTGGTGCTTTTTCCAGCATTATTCATGCAATCAGGTGGGATTCTTACTCTGAATATTTAATTTGCTACTCATACAAAATTATTCCCGTTTCCGATTGGCCATAACTAGGTTATCACATATTTTCGTTGTTATCCATGTAGTTCATAGTTTGCTAAAGTTAGCAAAGTCGATTCAGTGCCATTTGTTTTGAATTATATGTAACCAAGGACAATGAGGAGCTGTGCATAAATTAAAACTTTGACTGGTTTATTTGAAAGAACATAAACTTTCAGTACTTTCTTGGATTCTTCAATGAAAACTTCTTTGAATGAAGAAAAGGTCAGCTGTTACGCCATTTGGATGTTGAGTACTTCTATTTATGTCAGTTAGTTCGAACATTTCAACATGACATGAAGGGACGGGTCTGCCTAATTTTATGTCTAGAATTTTCCAAGGTCATTTTAAGGAAAATTAAATCCCACCTGGTAATATTTCATAACCCAGCAGTTTTGATCCTGACTTAGTAAATATCCCCAAAAGTAATGTACAATAAATTAACAAACATTGTGTGGCAAATCAAGGTTTACCAATTGTTTGCCTCAGTTAAAGGGCCTTTGTCACCATAAAGCGCATGTGCATTCTTGATTGACACCAATTTCTTTAATGAAAAGAAATCGTAATACTAACACATGCGAGCCATGAATTTGCCCCAGGTGAGCTTGGAGTTTCACGTGCTTTTTGAAAATCTCTTTATCTGTCGGCTTTTGGAGGAATATTTATCATGTTTATGTTGTGTGAAGGCTGTGTCCGTTGAATACAAGCACATACGCTTTAGTTTCTTTCAACTTGCATTCAACTTGCATTCTCTTTTTTTTTCTTTTTTCTTTTTTCTTTGCAAACAAGACAGCTACGGGGCGAAAGTAGCTTTTGTCTCTAGCTACCTCGAAAACCCACTCTCGAGGACATCATATTTCTCAACGATGTTCAACTCAAAACACAAAATATGCTGTTTAAGTCTTTCTTGGATGACTAAACAGTTCTTCAATATTGGTATTACAATTTCCACACGCCTCACAAGGTCAATGAAGAAGGATTTTTCACGCAAATATCAACTTTAAAAACTGTTCCGTCGGATAAGAAATCAAATTGCTGTAAATGCGCAGAAGGGTGTCAAATGCCCTTTAACTGTGAAAAATATGCTGTCTTGAACCATAAATAGCTGCAGCCAAATTTTATTACTGTTTAAAACAGTACCTAGGAGATTAAAACTAAAAATTGACTAATCTTGCTATATGTGGCTATTGAAGTTCCGAGGGGTTGGGGGACCCAAGTAGAAAAATCATGCAAATTACAGGGGGGTGGGAGAGTGCCATGAAGCTCTTTGGAACAGAAAATCTTGGGGAATGGGGGTCAAACCGGAAAAAACCCTCTGTGGGGGGTATTGATATTTTCTGGAACCACACGATGTAATTTTTACCATTATAATGAAACTAATTTCCACGAAAGAAATCAACTGCCACTCAACAGCTTGGAAGGTCGAAGTGAAAAACAAACTAGGCTAGTCACCAGTGCTTTTCTGTCCATTAAGTGACTTCATGTAGACTGGCAACAGGTAATGGTGGCCATGTCCACGCAACAGCATATTCTTTGCACTTGTTAGCTTCCAAATATTATTTTGGATATAATGGGATTCAAACTCAAGTATTCAATCTACTATTTTTTCATGTGAAAGATCAACTCAGTAGGTAAGAAAGGACTTTTGAACAGCTGGATTGATACTTGAATCCGTATTGCATTGAATGTCCCCTCGAAACTAAATCAACCATCCAAACACCCTCCCCTCTGGAATTTCCTGGTTCTTTGACCCCTCCGGAATTTCCAATTTCCTCTTTGGTGGGGTATGGATGTTTTCTGGAACCACGCAATGATGATTGATGCAACTGGCGCCTGATTTATGAAGCTTGATTTGGCGTAGAAATTTTTGTAGAGCTTTACGACTCTACGCTTTCGTCACCAGTCTCCTCCTACGTGTTGGAAAGATACACTACCTCCTACTTCACAGCTTTTACCGTAGTTGTGTATTGTTACTATGGTTAACTGCCTATTTTGTAACATTTGATTTCAACTTGTAGCATGTTCCTCGCATTTATCTCATACATATTGAAGTGTCATTTAAGTGTTATTACAGTATACAGTGTTTTAATTGTTTTCAATTTGAAATTCTGTATTGAGTTTACCCTCTACCATCTACGCTCTACGGTTCTATGTACGGGCATAGAGGCTTACAGTTATTGTGGCAAATATTAAAGTGCATGGAGAATGTTTAGTGTTACTACAGTTTACAGTATTTTAATAATTTCTTTTAATGTACAATTCTGTATTGAGTTTACCCTCTACACTCTACGCTCTACGCTATATGTTCTACCATTTGCATTCTACTCTCTATGTTCTACCAGCTACTCTCTTCAATCCACACTCTATGATCTACCATCTACCCTCTAAGTCCATCTATGCTCTATGTTCTACCAGGTACTTCTCTTTGATCTATGCTCTACGATCAACCATCTACCCTCTAAGCCCATCTATGTTCTACTCTCTACATTCTACCAGCTACTCGCTCTATGCTCTACGATCTACCATCTACCCTCCAAGTCCATCTATGCTCTACTCTCTACGTTCTACCAGCTACTCTATTCAATCTACGCTCTACGATCTACCCTCAAAGCCCATCTGCTGGGAAGGTTATTAGAATTTTTTAATCTTTTTTTTAATTTTTTAAATTTTTTTAACCAAGACTAGTGAGCAGCATAAAGGAAGTCTTCTTGTAGTTGTAAGCTTTTTCGTTTATTTCCGACGCGCTTCGTCTCTGCCTGAGACTTCTTCAGGGAATGATTTAAGCATGCTTTACTTTAACTTCCCATGGAAGTGAACAACTGCTGAAACATGCTGTTAACGGACGTTGCTATATATGTTGTTATATTTTAGGGACCATACGATTAGCACTAACCGTGTGGCCCCCAAAATGTAAAAAAAGTTAAAAAATTTAAATAAAAAAGACATATTTTCTGTTTGGAAGGGTCCCAAAGTAATCCTATTGGAGTTTCTTAGTTGTCTCTATAGCAAGAATGATCTTATCAAACTTAATATGTACTATGTTATTGTCGAAAGTAGTAGTTCGTTTCTCAATTTATTTCTTTACAAAGATGCTTATTTTAGCACTCTGTACTTTTCTACCTATCAAAAGCCACTAAATAAGTATCTGTGTACAATCCCTTTGAGTTGTTTCATCCTGCGAGTGACAAGAGGGCCTATATTAGAGTCGAGTTTATGTGCTATACCAGAAATAGCTCCACGTTTAAAGCCTTTCTGGAAGTGCCTCTGGCTTCGCGGTTGCCCAGTTGGGTTTTTACTTCCTTTATTCAGGGAGTTTAAATACAGTAACAGAACTAAATAGCTTTCGCTAAAACGTAAATCGCAGAATGGTAGAATGGTAGTTTTTAAATCTACATTTAACTGTAGTGTGAAGTACATTTTGTTACAGTGTACTCAAAAAGTGCAAATACTTAGGTCACGTGACTTTGAACGCTTAGTGGATGTTTTGCGACCACGTGGAGATGTTGTTTACTAGTTTTTAGGGTCCTAATTTGTCGTAGAGATTGCTGTTCATTTCAAGGTCGAATAAATGGTTTAACTCAGAACCACTAACATCAAGCTGATTATCCAGAGACATTTACCAGACTTAGACTGTATTGTCAGTTATAAATCTAGTACACTACTTTAGCACATCTATGTATATAGTATGTTTTTGGGGGGCCACATGATTAGTGATAATTGTATGGCCCCCAAAATATAACAACACGCAATGACATATGCACATGCATATGCATTTTTTTGTATCTCAATCACAATTGAATTTTCATGCATACTACATGATGTACAAGAACAGGGATGCCTCCACTACAAGAATTACATTGCTCCAATGGATTTAGTACACCTTCTCGATTGAGCCACTCTACCTTGGAAACTTCTCATGGCCTAATAGAAACCGATAGAGGTTGCCAAGCATGTTTTTCTTGTTGCCTGAAGACAAAAGCTAGTCTTCTTTACCCGACTCACAACCACTGGATCGAGTGCGCGGGTGTTTGGACAGCAAATCACAACAGAGTGCGAAAAAGATCAAAGCAACTCTCCCTGCGAGGTGGCTCTGAAAGATCTTCGGAGAAATTGAAGATTTTTATGAATTACAAACACACAACATGTAGCTATCAGATATGGGGCGCCAAATTTATTTTTATTATTTAGAGTGGTTATTTGTGTATAACCAAAACAAGTATGGTTATATGTAAATAACCACATTGCAGTTTGGTTATTTATAAATAACCAAAACGAGACATTGGTTATTTAACAAATAACGAAAACATGAATAGTGTTATTTGTAAATAACCAAAATTGCAAAGTGGTTATTTGTTAATTAACCACAATTGTAAAGCGGTTATTTGCTAAATAGCCAAATTTGAAAATTAGTTATTTATAACTAACAGAAATTTAAAATTGGTTATTTATAAATGACCAAAATTGAAAAAAATGGTTATTTATATTGAACAACAACAACAAGCTTTATTACCAAATAGAAAAAAGTTAAACTTTACAATATAATATATTAATAGAAAAAAGAGGTAATGTTTACGCAGGATAACTATAAAGCTAATCGAGCTGAGTAAAACTAAGTAATGTTTAAGTACAGGAGGTAGGTTGGTACTAAAGCTTGATGAAAGCAATTAATTAGTCAATAAAAAAGAGATGAAAAGAAGAAATAAATAAACAAATAAATAGATAAATAAAAATAAATAAATAAAATAAATAAACAAATACCAGTTGAAAACTCATGAACAGTAAGACTGTAAGATGTTTAGCTTGACTTTGTTTTTAAATGTTTTAAGGGGTAGGTGTTTAATGCTTTAATCAAGGCGATTCCAAACTTTTACGGCTGCAAAGTGAATGTTGAATTTACCATAGTTTGTTTTGATGGTATTGATGTAATAGGTTGATTTAGAAGCAAGCCTAGTATTGTATGAGTGTACAGATGCTACTGTTTGAAAGAAATTTTCAAAGGAAGATGGAAGAAGATTATAGTAATAGTGATATATGAGGAGTGCATTCTGAAGGGTAACAACATCAGTTAATTTAAGGATCTCTAATTCCTTAAAAAGAGGCTCAGAGTGTTCATCCTGTTTTGAAAAAGTTGTAGTACGTATAGCTCTCTTTGGAAGAGTTATTAAGGGTTTAAGAGTAGTACTATAACTATTGCCCCAAATTGATAAACCATAGGTGAGGAAGGGGTAGATAATTGAATAATGTAATTGATGTAATATGTTTCTATTTACATAATATCTAAATTTAGGTAGTACTCCAATACCTCTTGAAACCTTCTTGCTCAATTCGTGTAAGTATGGTTTTCTGTTCAAATTGGAATCAAAAATGACTCCTAAATATTTAACTTGATTATCAGATTTCACAGACTTATTGGAGATACTAAGATTCAACTTATGAGCTATTCTTCTTTGTGGAGAGTGAAATACCACGAAGCTGGTTTTTTCAATGTTCAGAGATAATTTGTTAGCATATAACCACTGGCTTACCTTTTCTAGTTCTACATTTAAGTTGGTTTCTAAATTTAGAATGCTAGGATTATTAAGAAACAAGTTTGTATCATCAGCAAAAAGGTGAAATTCTAAGATATTGGAGCATTTAGGCATAGCATTTATATATAAAAGAAAAAGAAGTGGGCCAGGCACTGACCCCTGAGGTACTCCACATGTAACAGGTTGGTAATCAGAATTAGTACCAAACAAAGAAACAAACTGTCTTCTGTTACTTAAATAAGAAACAAACCAATCATTTGGAACACCTCGTAGGCTGTAATACTCCAACTTGGCTAATAAATTTTTATGGTCAACTGTATCAAATGCTTTACATAGATCTAAGAAGATTCCACAAGAGTAGGTGCCATTATCAATTGATCTTTGTATCTTATCGGTCAAGAGGAGAAGAGCATGGGTGGTTGAATGTTTTGATCTAAAGCCAAACTGACTATTGTGGTTATTGTTATAAATGGTTATGAAAACTGGTTGTTTATAAATAACCAAAACTTAATTTTTTTCCAGCGACAGCAGATTACAAATTGGTTATTTATAAATAACCGAAATTGAAAATTGGTTAGTACTTCCAGGAACACCGGAACATGGAACACTGGAAAGAGGAAGCCACTTTAAAATCATGGGTTGATCCCACGATGATTATACAAAAATGTATCCAAACTTATTAGTGTTTAAATGGAAAAGATGTCAGGCAAATAATTACAGCGTACAAGCGTTACATGAAAAGATTTGAAAGATATGTTGGAATTTATTTTTATTTTTAGTTAACTTATATTTTTCATTATTTTTTAACTTATTATCATGCAAAACATATCTAAAACAAAGAATAATGAAGCGGAAGCAGATATAAAATAGAACTTCAACAGCTATAAACCGGTCAAACAAAGCACAGAAACATGAAAAAAACTAATGACATGAATTAAATCTAACAGGCTCTCAGACCGAACTCTTCTGTAATGTAGTTTTTGTGGCACTCTGTGAGAGGCAATCTGTCGCGGATGACCAGCGAACACGGCACAAATGATGGCTCAGCTGCTTCAATGCACGCAACCCGAAGATGAAAATATACATCTGATTCCTGAGTGGGCGTGCATAACACGGCTGTATTTAATAAACTATGCATGTACACAGCTAAAACTCACTGTCAATCTGATTGGAATGTACAAGTATTTACAGTATGTTGTGTGCTTTGTTCACTGGATTTGGCATTTATTCCACATTTAATCTGCATTTCAAATATATGAAATTAATATAGTCCCAAACATTTATTCATCACTTATGGGCATATTATGTACCAGCAAAATGACCAGCTCCTAGTTGGCTTCCCAGCTCAGTAGGTAGAGCACTGTACCAGTGTCACAGGGGCTCGAGCATCTTGGATGATGCCATTGTATTGGCTCAGTGAGAAGAAGTGTAGAAGAGATGGCAGACACAACCCTGAGTGCCTTCTCGGTTTTATGAAGTTGTCAGATAATACACCTGTTAACTAATCTAAACGTTTATTACTATCCTTTTTATTGTACATTTCACAGTGTTAACGCATTTTAAAGCAAAATGGGTTTTCCATTTTCGTAATCCTTTAAGAACAGCTGGAAGATGACTGAATTTCTTATATCAATGAGTATCTTGCATTTTTCACGTTTCAAAGCAAAAGGAAAATATATCCATATTCTGCTTATACTTGGAATTAGTTTCTGCAAGAGAGGATAGACTGCGGGAAGCCGGTAAAAAATTTGTGACTGTGTGGCGCTTGTAAATGTTTTCAAGATTGTGATGGTGGAATCAAATTATTTTATGTGCAATCAGTGGATGTAGTAAATAGAAAAGCTCATGTGCGCATGATTTTTTTAACGGTAACATATTTGCGCTCTTGGTATTTTGGGAGGTGTTCTGGTTTTTTTGGGGGGTGTTCCGGTTTTTTTTTTTGGCGGGGGGGTGTTCTGGGTTTTTCTGGTGTTCCTGAATGTTCCATAATGTTT